GAAAAGTGACAGATTAAAGGTCACATCTAATACAATTATCAATAAAAAGAAGTCGAAATGATTGTAAAATGATTAATGAACAAAGTCCCCGATTTCAAGATACATGTAATACAACTATTAGGATAAGTAAAACGTTACATCTAATGCAATTATCTATAAAAAGTTGTCCAATTTATTATAATATATAGTCAAATAATCAATAAAGAAACTGGTCGATTTCAGGTGACATCTCATAAAATTATCTAGAAAAAGTGACCAATTTTAATGAAAAAATATATCAAAAATAACAATTAAGAAGTGAACGATTTAAGATTATATTTTATATACAATTACCTAAAAAAATATTCAAATTTAATGTAAAATTATCAATTCAAAAAGTGACAGAGTTAAGGTTACCTCTAATGAAATTACCTAGAAAAAGTGAACGATTTAAGGTTACATCTAATACAATTATCTTTTACATGTGGTCGAATTTATTGAAAAATATGATAAATTTAACAATTAACAAGTGATCGATTCAAGGTTACATTTTATATACAATTACCTTTAAAAAATGTTCAAATTTAATGTAAAATTATCAATTCAAAAAGTTTCAGAGTTAAGGTTACATCTAATAGAATATCTAGAAAAAGTGACCATTTTAAGGTCACACCTAATACAATCATCCATAAGAAGTATTCGAAAAAAGTAAAATCACAAAAATACTGAACTCAGAGGAAAATTCTAAAATGAAAGTATCTAATCAAATGGCAAAATCAAAAGCTCAAACACATCAAAAGAATGAATGACAACTGTTATATTCCTGACTTTGTACAGGCATTTTCTTATGTAGAAAATGGTAGATTAAACCTGGCTTTTAAGCTAGCTAAATGTCTCACTTGTATGACAGTCGCATCAAATTCCATTATATTGACAACGAAGTGCGAATAAAACAGACATAATAGGTAAAAATGTCAAAAATTGGTGTAAAACAGTCAACATTGTGTTATAATCTTAATCACTATAAAAACAAACAAATATGCAACAAAGAAGCACAAAAAGGCATATAGACAAAGCATATTAGCAAAAATGAAAGACAAAAATACAAAAAAATGTTTTACAATAGCACAATAACGGGATGTATAAGTACAGAGCCACATCATATGTATCAAAGAAACACAAAAATGCATATAGACAAAGCACATTAGCAAAAATTGAATGACAAGAATACGAGAATTTTCATAGATTAATAACACAATGACGGGATGTATGAGTACAAAGTCACGTCAAATGGATATCAATAAAAAGAGACTAAACACTTAAAGTAATATTCATAAAGACAAATAAAAGAATACTATAACACGTTATTAAGATGATAAACAACGTCAGTACCCAGAATCTATACCTCAAGCACTTCCGATGAACTTTTTTTTAGAAAAATGACAAGACGTTCTATGACATATCCCTGGCTCATCAACTTTCTGCGAAGACACGAATTGATTGTAAAATGATTAATGAAGAAAGTGTATGATTTCAGGTTACATGTAATACAATTATTAAGAATAAGTGACTGATTAAACGTTACATCGAATACAATTATCTACAAAAAGTTGTCGAATTTATTATAAAATAAAGTCAAATAATCAATAAAGAAAGTGGCCGATTTAAGGTGATATCTCAAAAATAATTAAGAAAAACTGACCGATATAAGGTTACATCTAATACAATTATCTTTTACATGTGGTCGAATTTATTGAAAAATTAATAATTAAGAAGTGAACGATTGAAGGTTACATTTTATAAAAAAATTGCCTTTAAAAATGTTAAAATTTAGTGTAAAATTATCAGTTCAAAAAGTGGCAGAGTTAAGGTTACCTCTAATAAAATTATCTAGAAAAAGTGACCGATTTAAGGTTACATATAATACAATTATCTTATAGAGGTGGTCGAATTTATTGAAAAATATTATAAGATTAACAATTAAAAAGAAAACGATTTATGGTTACATTTTATATACAATTATCTATAAAAAAATGTTCAAATATAATGTAATATTTTTAATTCAAAATGTGGCAGAGTGAAGGTCACATCTAATAAAATTATCTAGAAAAAGTGACCGATTTAAGGTCACATGTAATTCAATTATCTAGAAAAAACGACCGATTAAAGGTCTCATGTAATACAATTATCTCCCAAAAGTGACTGATTGAAGGTTACATCTTATACAATTATCTATGAAAAGTAGCCGAATTGATTGCAAAATGAGTAATGAAAAAAGGGGCCGATTTCACGATATATTTAATACAATTATTAAGAATAAGTGACTGATTAAACGTTACATCTAATACAATTATCTATAAAAAGTTGTCGAATTTGTTATCAAATATAGTCAAATATCAATAAAGAAAGTGATCGATCTAAGGTGACATCTCATAAAATTATCTAGAAAAGTGAACTATTTAAGGTTACAGTTAATACAACTACCTTTTACATATAGTCGAATTTATTGAAAAAAAAATAAAATTAACAATTAAGAAAGGAACGATTTAAGGTTACATTTTATACAATTACCTATAAAAAATGTTCAAATTTAATGTAAAATTATCAATCAAAAAGTGGCAGAGTTAAAGTTACCTCTAATAAAATTATTTAGAAAAAGTGAACGATTTATTGTTACATCTAGTACAATTATCTAGAAAAAGTGACCGACTTCAGATCACCTGTAATGCATTTATCTATAAAAAGTAGTCGAACTGATTGTAAAATCATTATTGAAGAAAGTAGATGATTTCATGTTACATGTAATACAATTATTAAGAATAAGTGACTGATTAAATTTTACATCTAATACAACTACCTAAAAAAATTGTCGAATTTATTATAAAATATAGTTAAATAATCAATAAAGAAAGGGGTCGATTTAAGGAGACATCTAAAATTATCAAAAAAAAAGTAACAGATTTAAGGTTACATCTAATACAATTATCTTTTACATGTGGTCGAATTTATTGAACAATGTAATAAATTGAAATATTAAGAAGTGAATGACAAAAATACTGAACTCAGAGGAAAATTTTCATAGAACAATAACACAATGACGGGATGTATGAGTACAAAGTCACGTCAAATGGATATCAATAAAAAGAGACTAAACACTAAAAGAAATATTCAAAAAGACAAATAAAAGAATACTATAACACGTTATTAAGATGATAAACAACGTCAGTACCCAGAATCTATACCTCAAGCACTTCCAATAAACTTTTTTTTTAGAAAAATGACAAGACGTTCTTTGACCTACCCCTGGCTCGTCAACTTTCTGCTCAGACACGAATTGATTGTAAAATGATTAATGAAGAAAGTGTATGATTTCAGGTTACATGTAATACAATTATTAAAAATAAGTGACTGATTAAGGTGGATCCCTACAGATAAAGCAATTTTTTTTTCACCAATGAATTTTTTTTAAAATTTGCATACATATACTATGCAATGGCCTCTATCAAAATTTGAGTTAAAAATATCATGTCACCAGATTCGTTTCCATGGTAACGGCCACCAAAGTAGGCACATCACATATGTGAATGAATACATACCTGAAGTAAAAATCCTGGATTTTTTTCAGGCCTTTGAAAGTATTTTGAAAGGTTTGTTCTTCATTTAGTACATAAATAATGTTGAAAATGTAACTAAAACACAAATAATAGCAGTTTTATACATATTTATTAAATCCCGCCCCCATTTCGTCTACAATAGTGCAAATGAAAAACAAAGATTTTGTTAAAATTTTCTATTTTTCTTAAAGGAGTAGGCCCAGTAAGACCCCTTTTTGGCCCCAAAATTTAGCAGTTTTACAAAATTGTTAAAATGTAAATTTTTAGCTATTTATTGGAAAGAAGACTACTTCTGTTACATAAATATGGGCTGTTTTTGACAATACAATGCACATGTATCGGATACTAGCATCATTAAGTCATGCTAAATTACTGAAATCTTCGAAATTTTTGCATTTTGGTTAATTTTTAGACGGTTTCCGTCTGAAATGGAAGTGGCCGCATTTGTGTTCATTCTTAATATCTAAATGTAAGTTGTATTTGATGATAATACATAACATATATTAAGGTTGAGAATGAACATGGATGCGGCCACTTTCATTTTTGACAAAAACCATCTGAAAAGTGACATATTATGGCATATTTGATAGATTTTTCATATTTAAGCTTGAATTTGAGCGTCTTTAATGACTAAATCAGTTCAAATCTTTCACATACACTAATTGAATCGACTGAAGTAGACACTTAAGTGTTTAAAAAGAGTTCAAAATCTTTCATCAGATGAACCTGAATTGTGAGGCCAAAATCGGCCCTTACCGGACCTACTCCTTTCCAAAAAATTGGTCCAATGAATTTTTTTTTAAATTTGACATGATATGATCCAAACAATGAGCTTTGAAAAAAAAATAAAAAAAATATAGGTCACCAGACTATTTTTTCATCTAAAAACATTTTTGTTACCCATGCCGACACAGTAATCAACAGCAATTCTTTGTATTTTTTCAAAATTTGTGTAAACAAAGTGTTACACATGTTTCAATATCTTTTGTTGAACCTACACATATCAATAAAGTTTCACATATGAATCAAAAAGAAGACATTTTTTGTTTTTATGTACAACGGTTACCATGGCAACCGGGCAAGAAGAAGTAAAATTCTAATTTTATGTATACAAAGTGTGGTAAATATTGTCATATCTTTTGTAAAAACCTAAACACAATAACATAGATTAACATGAGAATCAAATTAAAGCTGTTGTTTTGTTTCTAGGAACAATAGTTACCATGGCAACCAGGTAAGACGTAGGAAAATTCACAGATTATATAGAATTTTTTTTCTTTCAAATATTGATTTATAAGTACGAGTCAAGCATGTAAACAGATAAAAAACTTTAATGATTTTTTTCCCCTGTCATAAATTAACAATTTTTGTTTAATGAAGCATACATATTACTTGCCATGGTAACATTTATACAAAAACTGACCATAAAACATGAATATATATACAAAATTCAGTTTCCTCCTTTGGGCCACCCGCCTCTTTACTGTGAATAATAATGTAAATTTTCACACCTCACTGATAATTATCAAAGTTATGCCAACATATAGTTTTCAAATAGAGTAATATTAAATGATAGAAAAAAAAAACCTATATATCATCAAAACTCTAATTTGTAGCAACATAACAAGTTATAACATATATAATATTGTTTACTTCTCTGGTACTGTCAAAAACTGAATGATAGGTCCAGCATATTTAGCGCTCACATGATTCTCTGTCAAAATAGCTTTTACTCCATTCTCATCTCTAGCATTTGCAATCTTTAAATGACACAAATGGACTCCACTTCTTGCCAATTTTGAACATATCAATGTATTTATAATTTTCATATCAATTAAAGGTTTAAATGATATCTTTGCATGGTTATAGTTCAGATTGTAAACATCTTCATTGATACAGTTTTCCTGAAGCTTAACCTCAAAAAATTTTTTCAACGAAAGAACATCTTCTTTTGCATTATGTGCACTGTAAGTCGACTGTAAAATTTCATTAACAAGAGTCTGTTGCTTGTAATTTTGAAAAGTTGAAAACAAATGGAATTCCTTCAATCTATTCTCTAACACCAACATATCAAAATTAGCAATATTATGTCAAACTAATATAGGTCTGTCATTAAGTTTTAAAAAATCAATGAAATCTAGCAATGACTGCTCAGCAGAACATGTTTCAACTATTGTTCATTTTACATACATTTTGTTTGAAGAATGTGAAAATGTTATACCAGTTATCGTACTTGCTTCTTGAGTAATTTCCGTTCTTGGAATAAAATAACGTTGAAATGTATTTGAACCACAGGCTGCAGCAATTTGAGTTATGTCACTATTCCTTGACAAACCATTAGTTTCCAAATCAAAAAATACAAAGTTGTCAGACTCATTTATGGTTAATGGTGAGGGTATTTCCTGGATATCTGGCATAGGTTCATTAACTTCTGCATTGTTTTCATAAGTTGTGCCTTCTTTTACCTTTGACCTAAACTCAGATTTCTTCTTTTGTTTTTTCAATTGAATACGCCTTCTTTTAAATTCTTTGGTATTTTGCCTTTCTCTTTCTCTTTTCAATTTCTTGTCCATTCTTTTACCAATTCTCAGTGTATGTTGTCCTGGAGACAATAAAGAAGCCTCATTTACCTGAAATATTTTAAGATTTGTTAGCATGGATATATAGCATCAAGAAATTTGAAATGTTTTATCTAAAAATCATGCAATTAATTTTTGTAGACATAATATTCTTATATGATAAGCATATCAACACACACTTGAATGTGATTGGTCCTTAAGAGTATCTTTTCTAGGTTTACACTTTGATAAAACATGTTGCCAAAATGTCTTACATGGCCTATGGAAACATAACATTGAAGTGTATGCATGCAAGACACATTCAAAAATGGTAAAATTAGTTTATTCCATGTTGTTTATTTCATATGAACAGTTTCACTACCATTCAAGAACCTGTTTCAGATTGCATTTAAAAGGGGATGACCATTTTTTTCTGCGTAAATATTTTTTATTACCATTTTGTTTCCAATTACTTGTTTAATTTATTCATTTACCTTTGACAGCCATGTATAGCCTTCATTCTTCTGTAATACTGAGGCAGATAACCTATTGCTTAATGATGATGATCCACCATAAAACCTATAAATAAAACATATATGATAAAAGCATGGTTTTAAATCAAGGTTATTATGTATAATTGAGTTAAAAAACATAAATCTTTTTTACATAAATAAGGCCATTAGTTTTCTCAGTTGAATTGTTTTACATTGTCATTTTGGAACCTTTTATTGCTGACTATGCGGTATTGGCTTTGCTCATTGTTGAAGGCCATATGGTGACCTATGGCTGTTAATTTCTGTGTTATTTGGTCTCTTGTGTAGAATTGTCTCATTGGCAATCATACCACATCTTCTTTTTTTTTAGATTAAGACAAGTACAATAGAAATCTAAATATACTTTTACTGTAAAGCTAGTGTGTTAAAACATAAACTGTTATCACAGAGATATGTCTCGCCTTTTATAATTTTGATAATGCAAATGTTGAAATTAAAATAGCAATACTTTAACATGTAAGTTGTGCAAATATTCAAAGTCGATGAACCATGACTGAAGGTACATGGCTAAACAATCTCCATGGAATGAGATGTGCCAATGCTAATACAACTGCATACCAAATACCATTGACTTATTATAAGTCGTTCCCTTTAAACAAACCTAAACACAAACATTAACTTGTAAACTATGTAAAAGTTTAAAAGTCAATGAACCATGATCAGGGGTGGGGCTATATAATCTCCATGGAAACGATACTTGCAAATGCCAATAAATTTGCATACCAAATATCATTGACTTAACATTAGCAGTTCATCTTAAACTGATCTAATCACAAACTAATACATGTAAACTAAGCAAAAGTTTCAAAGTAAATAGACCATGACTGAGGGGGCGGGGCCAAATATTCTCCATGGAAATGAGATGTGCTAATGCTTATACAACTGAACACCAATTAACATTGGTCTACCACTAATGGTTCCCCTTGAACTGACATAATCACAAACTAATACATGTTAACTTAGCAAAATTTTCAAAGTCTATAGACCATGACTAAGGTGGCGGAGCCAAATAATCTCCATGGAAATGAGATATGCCAATGCTTATACAACTGCATACCAAATATTATTAACCTACCACTAGTGGTTCCCCATAAATTGACCTAATCACAAACTAATACATGTAAACTGTGAAAAGTTTCAAGGTCAATAGACCTTGACAGAGGGGGCGGGGCCAAATAATCTCCAAGGTAATGAGATGTGCCAATGCTAATACAACTGCATACCAAATATCATTGACCTACCACTAGTGGTTCACCATGAACTAGACCTCATCACAAACTAATACATTGTTGACGCCGTCGCCGCCGTCACCGACGCCGGAAACAGCATACCTATGTCTCGCTTTTTGACTCCGTCAAGGCGAGACAAAAATGATCCTTTTCATCAATATGTAAGTGCAACCCCTATAGAATTGAATGCATCTTATTAACACGGTCGTGTTGGTGGTGGTGGTGGTAGGGAAGGGGGGGGGGGGGGGGTCGTGTTCAAATTTTACATGCCACAATAGAGTGCTTACATTTCAATTGTTCTCATTGTTATCAAATCTTGGCCAAAATCTCAAATAAAACATAGTCATAAAAATTTAAACTAAGGGGCAATAACTCTTATAATGGGTCAACAGACGATTTCTTCACTGATGTAAGAGATTTTCTGTAATAAGAAGTTGATCAAATAGTTTAAATATACTCATAGCTGTTTTTAAGATAACTGTTCTAAGTAAACTTTAGATTCAGAGGAGAAGATTTATATAATTAAAATCTTAAAAAGTTAACAGAAAATAATTGAGAAAAGTTCACTTCACCGTTTTGTTTAGGTGAGAAATAATCGAAAAAAAATATTATAATAAATCAGTCTGGTTATAAGTTTTTTATCAAATATTTACCGTGACTTTGGGGCTTTGCTTGCCACAATCTGGTTGAAATTTTCGTTTCCCTGTGTTGATCCCATATTCTGCAATGTTCCAGCTCTAGTACTATAGTAGTATTATTTATAGATTTTTCTTTTGGCATCACAACACGATTGATATCACTCGCTTGAAGCTAAGCTTTTATAAATGTAAAATCTACATAGCAAATATGAAATGTCATTGCTAAATAAAAGTGGTAAAAAATTATGTGAATATTTTTTTGTTTTGTATGTTATTTGCATTTATATATACATTTTTTACATAAATTGGATTTAATCAAGTATTTACATGTATAGTCATTACTTAACAAACATAAGATCCTTTTTTATGAGATGTAGTCTTTTGCTCATTAATGAAGGTGTATACATTTACAGTAACCTATTATTGCTGACACAATGTCTGCAATTTTCCTAAGGAAGACTGAGTTGTCTCTTTGCATGGCAATCTTACCACACCTTCTTATTTTCATATGCATACCAATTTTAAGGTGTGTTATTATGTCTTACATGTACCTAAAATTTTCTGGGTCATTCTTATATGTACACCATTCAGCATCTGTACATAAAGTGTGGTCTCCAAAAATGTGTTGGACTAATCTGCTGAAGGCACTCTTTATGTTTTCTAAGGAATTGTTATTTTCTTTGATGGCATACATAAAGCATCGTACAAGGTATGGTATGACTTCTGGGTGTTTCAATTCCTTAATCGTTTGAGACAAATCATACAGTTTCTTAGAAAAACCTTTCTTGATATGGTTCTGGTCATCTTTCTTTTGCAGTTCTTTAAAATCAACCTTTAATCTTGATGTTGTGGTCGAATCATTATCAGCATGGAGAACATGAATAGGACATCCATTATCCTTCAGATTGTGGGTCATCTCTAAAGCCATATCAGGTTCCATGCCTTTACTTGTACCCTGCCAATTCTTGCTGCAGTCATGTGAAGGGACTGTTTCTTTTCTACCCATATGGTATTCACAGACTTTGTAATTCCGGCTTCTATGAGAGAAGTCTATGACTTTACCCGTCATTGAACCGATCATGCTGGCATGTCCTAAAATTTACGATAAAAAGCTTATTTTGAGATACATGTATGCAATATTACAAATATTCTAATATGATTTGCATATCAACAATTACTTGAATGTATCTATCCATTAAATTTTCTTCTGATAAATTAACTCATATAAAACTGAATAAAATTCAGATTCCTTATAATATAAAAATTACAAAAAAAAAAGCGCAAAGTGAATCATCCCATGAACATAGGCGAATGCTTCTAAAGTTATCACAAAGTAATTATTATGTTAAGAATTTACAAGCTCCAATGTGACCTTTAGATTTTATTTACCTAATGATAATTGTGGACAAATTAGATTGACCCAGTAGTTTTAGAGGAAAAGAATATGTTATTGTTTTAGTGGGCAACCTATGACAAATTCTAGAATTCTTTGTGATGACGGCTGTTATAGTCATATGTATGATATTGTTGCATTACAGTTTTGAAGGTTAATATTTCATTACTGAACTGTCAAGATGAAGAACAGGAAAAAAGCCCTGTTTATTGATAATATTTTTTTTATTTTGTCTCTGTATAGTTTGCAATTTTGTTGCATGTACATGTACATTTACTCCATATCCTGCTATTTTTTTTATACATATATTTATATTGCAATTTATATTCATAATTGCTTTATTCTTGTGTGTGTGTGATGTATTACATGTATAGGGAACATCTTTTTTTATTAATAAAGTTATAGCCTAAACTGTTTAAATTTACCTGTATTACTATCATAATTCCAACCAGTACCCCGCTTTTGCCATCCTGCATCAAAACTGGCTTCAACCTAAATGACAAAAAATAGAATTAATGAAAGAACATGCTGTTTTCAATTATTTGTAGCTATAAACATAGTAAATATAAAATGAAATGGAAAATTAGGCTGTCAACATTGTTATTTGTAATAATAAATATAGAATAACCATACATTTTTTTGAAATATGAATGTTAGTTGTAAATGGCTCAGAACCAGGCCTTGCGGTCATAAAACTTTAAAGTCAGTTTTTTGTACTCATACTCCAAAATTAACCAATCAAAATCTTGGATTTCATTTTTCGAGTATGATTGTTGTGCTCCGAGCACTGAGCAAAGTTTTATGACTTCAACCCCAGGTATAAAGCAAGGCTATGCATCCTATTTAGAGCCAAGTTCAAATAAAGTGGAAGGGAAGGTGAAAAAAGGTGGGGGGGATTTTTTCTCAATTCAGATTTCAGAAATTAAAAAAAAAGGGGGGGGGTAAAAATTTTGGTGGGTCAATTCACAACAGCATAGTGTAATTTGCACAAAAGGCAAAAAAGGGGGTGCTAAAAAAAATTTAGGAGGGGGTGGGGAGTCAATTCCCAACAGCATAGTGTATTGCACAAAAGTAAACAATTGAATATAAATTCTGATCCTGTAACCAATTCTTAGTACCTTGACCACAGTTACACTGTGTCACAAACTTGTTATGTGTCAAATATTTAATGACATCCCAATGCAGACCTGTATCAAGTGTGAATATTGTATCCAATTTTGCCCCAACTGTTCAAGTTTGGATCTCTGCTATCATATCAAGCTGCGCTCAGCGAAGCAATTTATCTAAATTGAAATATTGACCCTGAACCAAAAATTATTACCAAGATCTGAATCATGTATAAACCTAATTAATTTTCTCTGACAGCAAGGGCAAAATTAAATATACGGTCCTCATTATACTCTATATATATACTTTGTAAAATTATCAAAACATTGCTTAAAAAATATCTGCCTAAATATTAAATTACCTTTCCATTACTCATTAACTGTTCCTTCTTTTGATTTGATTGACATGATTCTCTTGCAACTTCAAATATTTTTTTCCCAATTTCATTTTCCTTTTTCTTGATGGTGGAGGAATTCACAGGAGGTACATTCAATGCACCAAGAAAATTGTTGACATGTGTGGCCCCAATTCCTGCATGTATCATTCCTGAAAAAAAGTATTTTTATTCTAAAACCATTGATTTTGTGCTTGATGTGAAACAACAGTCTGCATTGGTAAGTTAGATAATGCTAAGATTACAATAAAATATTCCAAGTTCTTTCTTCTTTGGAATATAATATTTTTTTTATATATAATTTATCTATATGATTGTAAATCCATATCTTCATTTATACTTATAGATCAAAGACTCATATAAATTTCCTATAATGACTAAAGAAATTATATACCAACATATACTAAAAGTCATTTTTCTTTATTCATCCACCTTGTGCAGTTAAAAGTTTTGAAATGTGTGATATGATAAAGTTCACCAAAATGGTCACTATAAGTATACATAGTACATAAATATGTTATATCCATAAACTGCATGTGTAAGGAGACTACCTTTTTAAACCGGTTAGGCATAACCCAACAAATGGGAATTATTTCCTCTAATTTGAACTAGAAGGGGGAGGGGGGTAAAAATTTGAAAAAAATGCATAAAAATGACTGAGGCCAGATTCATAAAATATTTGGGCAGCACTTCCCCTGAAAATTACACTTTTTCATCCCAAACCCCATAAACTCCAGACCAGAACAGAAGGGAATTCAAGATAGAAAAGGAGAGGTGTGGGGCAGGTTCATTTATACAAGACATGAAACCATACACCTTCTCCACCCAGTAAAATTAGTATACAGAATCTAGAGAGAATCTTGTAAATTCTTACCGTAAATTCTTACTTAATGCAACTTTTGAATTCACTACAAATGCACCAGTCTCACTTCTTTTTCCCGTCTCCACACTGTTACAAGCACTGCAGCTACTACAGGGTATGAACAAAATGCTACCAAGGCCGTACTTCCGTTCGCCGACAGTGTCAATTAACTGCAAGGGACATTTACACATTTTGCAGAAGAGATTCTGTGCGAGGTGGAGCAATTCGACTAGCCGACGACCTTCTTTCCATGTTTCGTCAAAAGAAGGGTCACTGTGAACGGACACCGATTGTCCAACGTCCAACTCACAAAAACTTACATCTTGCGAATTATAAGTGAGAATATAAGTGTGGTCTTCCCGACTGAGGCTATTTAAATTATTCATTCTCAAAGAGCGCTTTAATTTATCCTTTATGATAAACTTTCCTTCCCTACGTATGCGACCCATGACGAAAAAAGCGGATATATTGACTAACTAGTATTGTTTATCCGTTACCAGACGATAACAAAGCTGTTACCGTGACATCGTAATATACGCGATATATACAATGACGTAAATCGTAAACCAGTCTTATATCAGTAAAACGTTGTTCTCTCCCTTAGTGTCGGAAGTTACCTTAAACGTTACATCGAATACAATTATCTTTTACATGTCGAATTTATTGAAAAATTAATAATTAAGAAGTGAACGATCAAAGGTTACATTTTATAAACAATTGCCTTTAAAAATGTTAAAATTTAATGTAAAATTATCAGTTCAAAAAGTGGCAGAGTTAAGGTTACTTCTAATAAAATTATCTAGAAAAAGTTACCGATTTAAGGTTACATATAATACAATTATCTTATACAGGTGGTCGAATTTATTAAAAAATATTATAAGATTAACAATTAAGAAGTGAACGATTTAAGGTTACATTTTATATACAATTATCTATAAAAAAAAAGTTCAAATATAATGTTATATTTTTAATTCAAAAAGTGGCAGAGTGAAGGTCACATCTAATAAAATTATCTAGAAAAAGTGACTGATTTAAGGTCACATGTAATTCAATTATCTAGGAAAAAAACGACCGATTAAAGGTCTCCTGTAATACAATTATCTCCCAAGAGTGACTGATTAAAGGTTACATCTTATACAATTATCTATGAAAAGTAGCCAAATTGATTGCAAAATGAGGAATGAAAAAAGAGGCCGATTTCACGATATATTTAATACAATTATTAAGAATAAGTGACTGATTAAACGTTACATCTAATACAATTATCTATAAAAAGTTGTCGAATTTGTTATCAAATATAGTCAAATATCAATAAAGAAAGTGATCGATCTAAGATCTCATAAAA